CCTCTGGTGAAGATGTCACTATAGCTGTTGCTGATGGCACATATATTTATGTTGAAAAGTCCAGCAACTATACTTTCCAACGACGCTCTTTTTCGATGCACAAAGGACGCCCTCTCCTGAAACCAATGCTTCTTGTGGCCTCAGATGGCTATATACTGTCTGTCCTAGGCCCATATTTAGCAGACGGTCGAAATAATGACGCCAACATTACAAAACACATGTTGAAAACTAACACTGAGAACATCAAGGATTGGTTTCAAGATGATGATGTTCTTGTCGTTGAAAGAGGCTTCAGAGATGTGACAGAACTGTTGAATGATGCTGGCATCAAAACAGAAATGCCATTTTTCTTGCCAAAGGGGCAGAAACAACACACACATACTGAGGCAAACGAATCTCGTCTTGTAACAAAGGTAAGGTGGGTTGTGGAGTCGGCAAATGGGCGGATTAAGCAGTGGAAGACCTTGGGACATGTTTTGCCCAACACTCTCATTCCAGTTGTAGGTGATTTTGTGAGAATTGTGTGTGCAATTTGTAATGCTTTTCGCCCCCCACTTGCCTCTGATTCTCCCAATGACCTCATCATTGCTGAGCGAATGTTGGCTCTGTCAAAATGTCCCAATAAATTGCAAATTCAAGTTGAAAAAGAAGGTTTGGTTAGGAAAAGAGCCATATGGGTCAAGCTTGATGAGGCCAGTTTGCCTGACTTTCCTCAGCTGACAGAACCGGAGTTGAGAGATCTTACCATGGGAGTATATCAGTTGAAGCAGGCAAAGTCATATACCATGGAGCACTTGTCTGAAGATGGCCAGTATGAATTAATGGAATGCAGGGAAAAGCCTGGCTTAATTAAAGTTCAGATTCGTTCCAGACATGTTGCTTCGAAACTGTACAACCTGTGGATTGAGTATTCCCCTGGTTTGACTCCTATATCTGGTTGGTATTGCCAGTGTAAGGTTGGTGCCAGGGTAGTGGGCTGCTGTGCCCATATTGCATCTGTTCTCTGGTACCTTTCTTATGAGCGACACCGGCCTAGGATAGCACACCCAACTGCCTCATCAAGCTACCTCAGCTGTGCTGATGACGCAATGATGATTGAGGACTGGTCTGAGTCTGACAGTGACAATGAGTAACTAACTATGTGTACGACCATTGTATGTATAGTGGAGTGAAATGCAACACTAGAGGTTAAGATTGATATCTTTCATTAGCCATTTCTGTGTTAATACTTCGGTAAAACCACTAGATACAGACATATGGTCAAAGTTGTCGAACTAAAATTCAAAGCACCGCCTCTTCTTTGTTTTCTTTAAAGTATGCAAAAATATTTCTTATTAAAACATGGTACATGATAAAGGTATTGTTTTTATGTGCATTAAGGCAGAAAATTAAGTTCATCTTTAATATAATTAGCAATTAATGAGCTTAATTACCATGACCTACTTTTCAACAATGGAATATTTTTTTCAATCAATTTTACTAATGAATGTTTTGATATGGATTATTACATGAAAATTAAGAAGAAAAAATCCAAAAATATAATGTAGGTTTGTCATAATGGAGCTGTTTATGAATTTTACCCCCCACTTTATCCCCCCATAACTCATGAATGGCTCAGATCTGACCTTAATTTTATGTCATATCATGACCGCCTAACCCCAAGGAATTCCTACACAAGAAATAAAAAATATCGGTCATGGCCGCCAGAAGGCCCAAATTGGCACTCCTCCTTTGTGGGCCTATGGACAGCTGACCAGTGGCCCAAGAACCTTGCCAGAGTTAGGTAAATAAGGGGCCCACACCGGGCTACCTCACAGGCCATCCATTCAGCAGGGAACACAGGTCAGAGGCGTTCAGTCAACTCCACCACCTCTCCCGGGCTATAACTTCCAACACATTCATTTTAAAGATTTTAAAGAGTATATGTTCCAAAAATAAAATAATTGATAATTAAAATCAAACAAGAATAAACACAAATATTTCCTAGAATCACACCAACGACGATAATATTAAAAAGGAGAGATTCTACTCGACATACCTAAAACGTGTATGTGGGCAGCTCTTTGACTATTATTGTAACTTCTAGCTGGATTTTTTGCAGTATTGAATAATTAACTGCATATGCTTGCATATTCGAGTAAAGGTCGGATATAAGACAGATATTTTTTCCAAGTTACTTCTTTTTAAAATAAGTTTAAGTTTGCGTGAGGTTGCTATATACTTGGTTACTTTGCTAACAATATATTATATATGTATATTATATTTACAATTATCAGGAAGAGTAACACTTAAGTGTTTATACTGGTTATTGAGATTTGAATCGGAAGGTAGGGAAGTTGTCTGTAAGAAATAGCTAGAGCCTCCATTTTATTTGGATTAAAAGTCATATGCCATTTATTCGAAACTTCGAGTTTTTTTTAAACAGAATTTGCCTTATTCTCTATCAAGTTTAAATCTTGAGATGAATAGGATAGAGAGATATAACCAGCAAAATGACTAGATAGAGAATCTGGATTACAGGACATTAACGTATATTAGGAAAAAGAGATATCCAAGAACAGGACATTGTAGAATAACGGCATTGATAATTTTGAATGAAGATAACGAGTCCTTGATAAAAACTGCTTGATTTCTGATTCACAGATATATTTTTATCCATTGAAGAAGTGGTGCTGAGATACCATAATAGTTTAGTTTATATAGGAGACCTGTATACCAAACTCCGTCAAATGCCTTAGAAAAATCACAAAATATCACAACAGAATGCTCATCATTTTCTAAAGATTTAATTACTGAGTGATGTTAAAAACCTAATTCATATTTGTGAATTGTATCGTCTTCAGTCAATAAGTTATAGATGTGGAACAATTTGCCTACACAGCTAAAAAGGGATATTGGTCTATAGTTGGAAGTAATATGTTGTAGTTCTTTATCCAAGCATTCTACACGCCTAATATCAGCACTCTGGGCCTTTTGGATTTTGAGTAGAAGGCAAAAATGTAAATCGTTTACGAAGCATGATGCACAACGCACAATTGACGCCGTGCAAAAGATGATCGCAATTACATCTCTTCAGACTTCGTCTCAGGTGACCTATTAAAAGACATTTCTGAATTGTAAATTTAGTGTAAATATGCTCAAATTCAGTACAGTAGACATTTTTGAGATAGTAAAACTCTGTCTGCTCTTTTCATACCCAATCAAACTCGGTATTGTCGGTATTGCCCACATTCATTGTAAAAGCAGCCATTATATCTATAAACAGATCTTTTTCCTACAGTAATTATGTCCTTTTACGTATACATTTACATATTCATATCACATTTGTACCCATTTAAAAAAAAAAGATATTCAAGAATTAGCATTTAAAACGAATGTTATATATTGGGGTTTTTTTTCATCATTTTTACCGGCAAGCATATCAGAAAGTAATTGGCGAGTAAGGCCTGATAAATCAGTATCTGTCGAATTATTATCACTTACAGTATGTCAAACAAAAAATGTTTAATACACGGGATTAATTAATATGCTGTCATCACCTTTAAGAGAGATATATGAAGATAGTTGTATTGCGTGGAAAACAATACAAATAAGCTAGATAATATATCACCATTTATCAGGAGGAACGGTTTGATCAGAGATAATGTTTGCCTTAGTATCATTAATCACGTGAAGTAATAGTCATCATCTTTATTTAGTTCCAACTATATCTTATCTCAACAGTTTTTTCGTCTATATCGGTCAGTTTCATCCTTATTTTGATTTGTATATGTTAAGAAGCTACACATTTTGTTTTTGATTTTTTTTCAATCATTGTCACTTAAATGTCATTAACATCTCCAATTTTACCATCTGCAGTTTTACAGTCAATTAGCAATCTATAATTATACATATCCTATGGCCTGTTAGCTCCACTGAATTTTCCCCCAAAAAAATGGAACTAATTTTCTATAGTGGTTTTGAAACATACATAAACATGCAAAGATACGTCAGTGATTATTATACAGCTGTTGCAGAAATTCAGAATTCCGTGAGGTAGTTTAAAGAATGCTTTATCAATAATCAGCAATTTGACATATACAGATAATTTTATGGGGTGGTAAAACAAGTTTAGAGCTTATATTAATTCCTTTCCCACGTACATACAAAGGCAAATTAAAATCTTCCGAACTGGAACACCTCAGATCAACATTGAGTGAAAAAGTAATATTTACATATAAAAATACATGTTCCCTGCGGTGCTCTTCAAATTCAGTGCAGTAGACATTTTAGAGATAGTAAAAATCTGTCTGCTCTGTCGGTATTGTCACTATGTTGATAATTGCCCACGTTCACTGTAAAAGCAGCCATTATATCTATAAACAGATCTTTTTCCTACATCTAAAACCTCGGTAATTATGTCCTTTTATGTATATATTTACAGCATTTGTACCCATTTAAAAAAGATGTTCAAGAGATATCAAGCTTAAATTTAAATCTTCGGAACTTGAACACCTCATATCAACATTGAGTGAAAAAGTAATATTTACACATAAAAATAACATATATTCCGTGCGGTGTTTTTCAACATAGAAATCAACGACGTTGAAGAAACAGTTATTATAGTGGAACAACTAAGGTTCGATCGAGGTATTAAACAAAGACTGTGTCTTCGGAACAATTATTTTACTGTGAATGACATGTATACATAAACGTTTACACTTCTCGTTATTTTCAAACATTATTATATTTTATATATAAATATATTCCAAATTATGCAGACTCCTATGGTATGCGTCTTCATAATATATGCTGCAATTCGTGAAACATAATAAATATCTCTTATTCTCAGCAAGATCAATTTCATTTTATGGAAATATCATAGATTTACTATGCCATTTTGTGTTTAAATGATGTGACAAATGAAGTACCGTAAATGATTACTCCCCAACAAACACCCATATTGCCACTTCCGGTTCAAGGGTTGTTTACATTCAGACTTTGCCTACAGACAGAGATCAATGGAGAAACGCCTGGTCACTTTAGAGTTTACAGGGGACGGCTTCGCCATCGTGCGAATGAGAAATGGACAAAACCGTCTAAATTCCACCTTTCTCGGTAGCCTTAACCAAGCATTAGATGAAGTAGAGAGGTAAGTTGTGAACTGTACAGACGAAATACACGTGTGTAAACACCGGTCGTATACACGTGTGTACCCAATGGACCTATATGTGTACAGGTATTTACCTATAGGTAAAGTCCGTTGTTTAAATTATTGTTTACACTGTGTATATTTCGGCCACTTAACAAAAATAATTCTCGAATTAGCTTATATACCTGCAATGTATATGTATTTGATAGCTGATGTACAATTACTGCCACCTGTATATAGGGATGTTTACCACGTGGTGAAAAGACCTGTTGTTATTGTTATGTTTTTTGTTCGTATTATTATTATAAGCTAACGGATAATAAGTATTCATACATTATTGTATTTTAATACTGCTGTGTCTTAAGAAATTATGATTTTAAGTTTCTAATATGGGCCAAGGGTCACGTGACGATTGTGGTAAACGATTTAGTATCTACCAGTTTCATTGTGAATAATATTAGGACCGAGGAAAAAATAAGTAAATATTAATGAAACAAAATAAAAATTGAATTAAGTGTTCCAGCTGAGCTTCGAACCTACAGTCATAACGGAATTCCTTATTGATTTAGAAAGTATTATATAAATGATCTGGTATTAAGGACTTGCTCTTGTGAAAATTTTCTGAAAATGCTGAACAACTTTTGTAAGTAGTAAATTTTGATTTGGTAAAAAATTCTCACGATTTTTGCGAGACGAAAATACAAGGCAATTTATTTCCCGAACATCTTTGATTGATGTCGTCGTATGCACGGTGGACGTAAATGTCTATTCGCGGGTCCGGTTTGTATTCCACATATATGTTCATAAAGAACGAACTATTTCACTCGTATGTAAATACATGGATACCTAATATCCTAAATCTAATGCATGCACATTGTGCGTCTGTATTGATATAGAAGCCATTGAAATTCACTTTTTGTAAACATCGTAGACGTCAGAAAAGCCGAAAAACAGAAAAATGTATGTAAACGCACTTACGCCATATGTACTATGTGTATTTTTCGTGACGAGTTTCTGAAGTTTGTGTAACTAAAATGATACTTTGTTTCGTGTGGTGATGGGTGGAGATGAAGAAGTTACTGTGTTGAAGGTTTATTGAGATGTAGGCTATTGAGAGATGGAACACTCACATGCGTTAAGGAACCGATACAAACTGGCTAGAAAGGTGGTCGTATTTATACTAGCCGTGTTAATAAACTTATTAAGTACTATTACACATTAGCTTACAGGTGACCTAGCATTGAGTAATATTTGAGTTATGGACATTATTATTCTCTTTATTGCCTCCAAAATGAAGAGTACAGAGAGTATAGAACATGGATACAAAACATTTGGTAAAATAAATACATTATAAATAGTATATGCATGTATATATAGTTGCACGTGCCCGTGAAACATCAAATTAATATAATATCACAGAGTTATATGTGTACATATAGATAGTAAGATAAAGTTTTAATTCTACATGTCAAGTGTATGTTATATGAATTAGGATTCACTTTGAGGCTTATAATATGGGTAGCATAATGGTAAATAAGTATTGATATACTTGTATAATACAATAATGTGTAAGGTATGCACTAGAAGGATAAATTTGTAGGCCCGTATCACACAAGGGTTGGGGAGACCCCTACCAGCAAGGTGTTACAGGCACACAAATTTACACAAAATTATGTAAATATGTCAGACACATACCGTATATCTTCATTTTTAACATAATTAATATAATTGTTTCATACATTAGGTATAGTAATATTTGCACATTTTGTAAACATACGTGATTGATATTAATCTAAAATCAATCAACTCTTCTTCGCTAATATTGAGGTTAACCTTTCCTCCAATCAATATATGTAGCATTTCGATGTCTGATAGGGAGTGTAAATATACACTAAACAGTATATCATTGACATTAATTATACAGCACCTTAGTTGATCTCTCAACTCGGAAGCACAGTTACACTGTAGCACTAAATGTGTTATTGGGTCATGATATAGAAACCCACATTGATGACATAATTCCATTGTTGTCAAGTTTCGAATAGTTACTACTATTTTCATTATATATTGTGTATTTTCCAGGTGTTGGGGAAACTAGAGCGCTAGTTTTCATAAGACGTTAGGTTTAAGCTGGTTATGTAATTCAACGAATCTTGAGAAATCAGTATCATCTTTCATACGTTCCATTAAATTATGTTCTTCATATTACATTACAGAAGTATACATAACAAATTTCAAAGTACATTTCTTTGGAAATACTCCAGTTTCAACAAAATTGCTGAGATAGTGATACAATGAATATTTTCTCAGTATCCTTACTATGTCAGGAAGAAATCCCTGTTGGTACGGTCTACCTAATTCAAACAAAAATATTCTTGTAATAAAAATTTTATAAACTAGCGACATTGTATTCATTCTACACAATCTACCAAAAAAATAATTTATAATGTCAATATATGCCTCAATAGAGGTCGACCAAGTAGATGTACACACATCCGGTCTTATTCTTTTTTCAAATCCCTGTATAGATTTAACGATGAAATGTTGTGCTCTTTCTAAGATTAATATCTCAGTTTTTTTTTAAATTTCAGAGTTCATAGTAGATGTTAGGAATAGATTAACAAAGGCAGATACATTATGATGAAATATCTGACTTATGTCTAGCATAATATTGAATGATTTAATCTTACATATTAACTTTTAATAGTTCATTCATCCCTTTGTATAAAATTGATTTCAAATTAGTTACAATTTGACATCATCTATGAAAATATATATAGTTTATAAAGTCCCTTTGTAATGATAACAAATAGTTATAACCATGAAACTTATTTGTGATTGGTAAAAATGTATAATTTGATTTTTAAAAAAATCAACTGGATAGCAAGACTATCGCTTAACTTTGGTACATTTTGATAATCAAGAAATATTTTGATTGTGCTGTGTTACAATTAATTAATGAGAAATGAATCAGTATACTTAGTTACGACGTACCACCGACTGTTATACTAAGCCATGACGTCACGCCCACTATAAGGCTATGACTAGTACAATAGATGAGATAATGGATTAAAGTCAGAAAGTCCCTTATCATTAAGTCATAGATATATAAATGCTTTGGGAATGTTTCATCCGAATAGAAGTATGTATTTTTGTTATATGTCAATATGTCTTATGAGTAACAAAGTCTTTCATATAAATATTGTGTGTGTACAACCGCGTCACTGACATCGACTCTGACATAAAATGGTAGAGTTTAAACATTTAAATCCCCGTGTAACATCACGTGGGTGAAACTCGCCATATAAAGAGAGAACAAAAATTGTGTGTGAACCTGTTGAAATTCATAATTGATTTGGAACTCTCTGGGGATAATGATTTATAAAACAGCACAATTTTAAACATTTCAGGATAATGTTTCAAAAATACACAATTAGATCATTTAGATCTGATAGAACTAGTAATTAAGAATATTTTGTTAGACCTTAAAGAAGAACTATTGTCATTACCAGGTTAAGGAGTGCTTTCTGATGGACATAAAACAAGGTACTGCTTAAAATGTAACTTACATATATATTGTAAGGGTTAAATATACTGTTAGATAGAACGGATTACATGTAAAACTTTTACAATATTTGCAATAAAATAAAAATAAAAATATTTCGTACTAATGAAAAGTTTGGAAACGAAAGGTAATAATAAATGGATAGTACAGTTATTCCACAGTTAATGGTTTCACACGGCGTAGATACGAAATTGAAAGTCTTGAAGAAGGAACCAAGTGAAAGTAATGTCCATCACGTGATGAGACTGTAGTTACGAAAATGATTTAAAGCTCTTGGTTGACGTACTACCGTCTAGTTATCCAAGACGTGATATCTCGCACAAAAAGGCCGAGACAAAAAATGAAAGTTAACGATAAAATATCACAAAGTTCGTCGTTAAATTTGAAGTAGATGGGTTCTTGATGTTGTGTTGGAAATGTAATGTTTAGTGGTTGAGTACCAGAAGATTTTTTTCAAAAGAAGCTGATAATGCAAGATGGTCACTGGATGCTGAACACGAACTAGGCACATGTATTAATTGAAGAGGTGGTTTAACAATTAAATGCGGAATTTGCGTGATTTCTACGTGTGTATCTATTTATTGGGACTATACTACTTGTTGTTATCATGCCGTGACCAAGATCTGGTGTGGGAATCTGATAGGAAACTGGAAAAAAGTACAAAAAGATATCAGGGAAAAGAGCAGAGTCATTGTTGACGAGTTGGATGGAAAATATTCGACCTTGACATTTTGAGAGGGGAGATCATCCAAGCAGATACAACCAGATAATTATATCGCCTTCAAGATCCCCTCAAGAGCAAGCAAAAAACAACACAATTTTCTGAGCCTGTATACATCACATATAGTCAGTAACCCTTTGAACTTAGTCATATTAGGGTGAATAGTATAATAATTAGGTATGAACATTCTCCTATTAGTTTTTGGATTTTCACACAAAAATAAATAATGATATTCATCACCTACGCCATTGTTACAAAGGGGACATAACCTGTCCTCTCTTCTAATACCTGTCCACCTACCAGTTTCTACTGGCAAGGACATGTTGGAAGTTCTCAATTTAAAAAGTAATTTCCTATTTTTAGGAATCATTTTCAACAAATAAGTTTCACAACCGAAATCCATTTTGTATAAGGCATACACATTTCCCCTTGAAGCATTATTTATATCACTATACCACTTTTAAATGAATTGATCATTTAAATTCTGTTTCAGAGTAACTTTCAGCTCTGGTTAACCAGGTAGATACTCTCTTTGTAAGGTTCATACATAACTTAACCCTGATTCATTAAGTATATTCTGTACAAAAGAAATTCATTTAAATTTAACAACATTATTTTCGTGTAGTCTGAACATCAAGTTATACAATGTACTGAACAGTTTTTCATTACATGTTATCATTTTATGCCAAAATAAAATTGTTCTGAGATTTATAT